ACGTCATAAACTTGATGACGTCACAATGCTATGACATTGCTGCACTGCAAGTCTAATGGCAGTACCGTGTTCAGAGATGTACATTTAGGAGAAAAACATCATGTGTTGGCCAATTTCCGGGTGTTATTGAGTATTTGAAGCACGGGAATATTCCATTTGAAACCTCCGGCGTCAACACATGATGTTTATCGACATTGTAAACACAAAAGTAAACCAAAAGGTCTTTTTGTGTCTGCACTCATTGACATCGAGTACGGGTACAGCAGTGAAATGTCATCAGCCGGCCGTTTCGGCTGTCTCCCATGGAACTGTTCATTTGTGACGTCATTCGGATGTTACGTCACAATATGATTTTAATGACGTCATCACAGCTGACGACGTAACAATACAATGGTGTGAGCGATGTTTGTATGTATTAATACGCAGCGAATTTCCGGGAATCGAATACCATTTGATCACGATTTTCAACCAATCAGATTAAAGAACACTGACTTTTGGTTTACAATTTTCATTGAAAACTAATGAAGCGTGATTTTTGATGATACATAGAATCTCACTCTTTTGAGATCAAATATATCAACACTCGTTGATAAAAGTACAAATATCATCGGCAAGCTTCGGATATTTGTAACTTTATCAACTCGTGTTGATATAATTGATACGAGTAGATTCTGTATTAGTCCGTGAATGTTATTATATACGTTATCCATTACTATCAACAGACATGAATCAGTGTTACTCTGATTTACAAAACCCAAAATAACAAACCCGGGATTGCAAAGAACAAACGCCAGATGGGTCAGTGAAATGCACAAATGCCAACAATGGAGAACTAAAGAAAGTAAAAACAACGCCCTTCTACTATGGAATAGGAAACCACTACCTTCCCTATACCTTCTCAACAAAGCCCACTTGGTAAATACAAAAAATATATTTGTAGTTTAGATCTTTTTCACTGTATGTGGCTGTGTATATAACACGCAGCGTGTACATTCTTTCCCATACCTACAACGTTGACGTCCGTCCTCGGTGGGAGGTTTGTGTCTCGAACTTCCTTCGTCGATTCCGCTCCCTGTTCGCCAGTATGTTTGATGTGTGGGTTTTTACATGGAGTGTCAATGTACACACATCCCGGTATGTCGATCTCGATTTAACGCGCAAAAACACACCGTCTGAATTTGTGTTGTTTATTTGCATTCGACAAATAATAAGGGCACTTGAAACGAACTTTGTAGAGCCTATGAGCCATGTGATTTATATACATAACTAGACACATTGTTTTATGTCATACATGTACGGCGTTTTTAAATCTGGAAGCTGTCATATTCTTCATGAGAAACACAAACCTTGTCACTGTCTTTGCTGTGGGACGGTTCCTTGCCAACAATGGTCCTTTGTTAAAATACATATAGTTATTGTAAACTATTTAAACATATCCTTTCACAGGCATTTCGTGCGGCTTACGGTTGACACAGTAAACACAAGTTATGGATAACAACTTCTTCAATATGGTGAAATATATTGAAATTTCTGTAAACATCAGTCCGGATTCATAAGGGTATAGGAATCTACCTCGAAACGTTAATATTTCAGTATATTAACACCGTTGTTATACATGATATATATTGTGTAAATTATATTTACACAAGGACAAAAAGACAGTTGTCAGGTCATGTTCGTTTGTCTTCGTTAATTACGAAAAAACAACAAACAGCAACAAAGAATAAACAAACAAAGAGAAACAGGATGCAAATACGGTTGTAGGATAAAAATCCTCTGCAAAAAATTAATTTTGTAGTAAAAAACTGATTTAGTTAGTATCAGCACACAATACCAGTACAATAAAACAGTGAGCCACCCTTTCTGGGTTACGAGAGACTATTAGGTAAGAACATATACACACAATATGAAAACTATATACACATAGAAGTTATTATTAAATCACATATAATGACAGATTAAATTTTTAAATTGTTGTTTGATCTTTTAAACGTACATCTAAATACCAAATGCACGGCCCAACTGTTGACAAACCCAGAAAATGGCAACCCAGAGCTGACAAAGCCGCACAGTCGCTCTCCTGATGAAGCTCAGATATCACTGATAAAAATCTCAGTATCAGTAGGCCTAGATTATCTCATGTCATCATGTGATGCATTATAAAAAATTAAAAAGCAGTGTTTTTGTGTACATTTCTAGTTAGAAAATGAAAAGGGAACTTTTTCCGAGGACCCTTTTACCTAGGCAAATGTAAGACTGTTTTACCGGTACTTCTTTACCGAGGACCTGTTTTACCGAACACCGCAATTACAACTGACAACCTTCAAACTTTTAAAGATGGCGTTCCTTCCATTTTTAGCATAATGCGGTTTTATTACAAAGCTTCTGAAATTATGCTTTTTTTCTGCCTTTTCTACATCTACGTCTGGATGGAAGGCTACACCAACGCCATGCTGGGATCGAGTACTAGTGACTTGGTTGATACTTGTCACTGTGGCTCATTTCCATAGTGGGGCAATGGGGTAGCTTAATGGTTAAAGCGTTGGCTCGTCACGCCGAAGACCCGGGTTCAAATCCCCACATGGTCACAATGTGTGAAGCCCATTTCTGGTGTCCCCGCCGTGATGTTGTTGGAATATTGCTAAAAGCGGCGTAAAACCACAGTCATTTGCATAGTAACTGCTCATGATGTCAATCCCTGGATTGTCTGGTTCAGATATAACAATTTACAGACCGCCATCATATAAAACTGAAATATCGCTATCTCGTTTAACTACAAGACCGAAAGAAGTCCCTCGTAAACGAAACAAATCTGATTCAGTTATAATTCAGTATATACATTGCGCATCTTCAATTCTCAAACTTAAAAGTGTTTCCCTGTCCGTTTTGAGTAGGCCGAGCCAACAATTACATAAAAAAGGACCAATTAGCATCCCAGACATTTTGACACTGCGTAGATGACACGTGCACAGATTATGTGTCATTGCATCGTTAATTAAAGGTCACAGCAAACAGGTTGGTTCAGCGCATGCGCTTTGCCCCCTGTGACCTGTCCCCACGTGACTATTGCAGTACACACCTTGCCCATCGTATGAAAGTAAATATACACGGAATGCAGGTGTGTAATTAGCCTCACACTTCAACACCTGTCGGAGATGTGTGAGGAAGACCAACAGGGGGAAACGGGCTGACTCAAACAAGGTACAGCAATTCGAAACGAATACTGTGTAGTGTATACTCAATTACATTCTAACGAAATTGCGAGAAACTTTGATTTTTGAGTGGGGTGTGTTGGAGATAGGGAAGGGGATATTTAAATGTTTAGAAACATTCAGGATGCTTGGTGGGCACAGTTTAAAAATAGTTTGTTGATGTAGCTGATGAAGCATAAGTTGTCCTTGCTAATAGGAAGCCAATGGGTGCTCCTTAACATGAATATTTCACCTACTGTTGACAATGGATATCTGTTATTGTGTTCACTTGGAAAACATAGCATTGTAGCAACCCTCTTATAATGCAGTCCTTCTATCGTATTCAATCGTGTTTGGGGAGGTTGGGTAGCCTAGTGGTTAAAGCGTTCGCTCGTCACGTCGTAGACCCGGGTTCGATTCCCACATGGGTACAATGTGTGAAGCCCATTTCTGGTGTCCCCCGCTGTGATATTGCTGGAATATTGCTAAAAGCGGCGTAAAACCATATTCAGTCAGTCAGCCAATCATGTTTATGTTCTCTTTGTTATTTAACGCCTCACATACAAATATTAATGTAAGTAATCGAGTCTGGACCAGGCAATCCAGTGACTGACGTCATGAGCAAAATATTTAATGTACCCGATCTAGGAATCCAGGAACTTTGTAATGCCCACAGGTTCAGGTTCCGAGTCTGGACCAGGCAATCCAGTGACGTCATGAGCAATCGACTTAGGACTAACCAAATGCAATACAAATATCCCCATGTTGGGATACAATGACATGTGTCGTTGTCAAGTCTGCGAGCCATTGACCTGTCCGATTGCGGAATCCAGGAAGTTTTTGAAGCATACGGAAATTACCGAGGCCCACGAACGATCACTTTTGAGGAACTTTGCCCACAGGTTCCGGTTCCGTACAGCCCCGATGACAAGAAAGGGTCGTATAGAACAGAGGGTTGCCGAAGACCCACAGAGTAACCCGGATCTTCGCAGTGATTAATGTTTTGATGTACACTAACTCATATACATCAAGTGTATACATACTCATATAAAATAATGAAAAGTAAATTAAATGCTCTGTAACCTTTCCAATGACTATAGTTAGATTATATCCCCTTTCTTTGTTTCTTCGGCTACCTTATATTACATGTTATAACTCAGTTCTTGTAACCTTGAGCAGCGGCATGGGGTAACCTGCTCCCTCATCAAAGATCACGGTTTAATTACCCACATAATCTCTAAAGTTCTTTTCGGGTGTCCAACGCCTTGATGACACGAATGATGCTAGAACGGCGTAAAACCATACTCCTTACTCACCTTAATAAAGATACAGAGTTTTGTTTGCTAATTTCAGGAAGCATTGGTGGTAATGTACATTTTTATCAACGTTATAACACTTTCAGTCGCAGAGATGTTGGCGCCTCTGTTACTTTGATCTTCTTCTAATTTTTTTCAACTTTTTTCTCGAATTTGCAACGTTAAGAAGTGACGATCCACTGGAAATAAATGAAATAGGAATCATATCTGTAAGAACTCCTTTTCTCTGTCACACTTCTTTAAATTTGACAACCCCCACGGCAATTGTGGTGTAAATCCTAAATCAACAAATTAAACAGGATCACTCCTTTGAAATCGGAGACCAGCCTTTGATTGTTGTTGTTGATGTGTAAACAGTGCACAACGATCTATTTTTGACTTGGATACAATGTTAACCAAACCAATGCAAATTTACCCTCACCGTTACTCGAACAAGAAAGAGTAAACAGACTGATGATCTTTGTCAAACAACTAATGCCATGTGTTGAAGGATGCGGATATGCCACGGCGGACTATCAGTCGCTGTTGATATGGCGACCAGGGCTCATCTTACCACGACGTTCTCTACAGTTGTCTTAGTTCTGCTGACGTTTGCCGTGATACCTGCCACCTCTGATGGTAAGTACTACTATTATGGATCACACATTGTATTCACTTACAGTATGAATTCCCTCATAGCGCTCCGCGTCAGCAAACCCTTACTTGAAGTGATAAGTAGTAGTGAAACAGGATACAGATGATTTGCTGTTTTCCTTGTATTCTTCTCTTGTGTATTGTTGTTTTAACTATTACACGTACACGTGTACGGAATGAAATTCCGCTACAATGTATTTGGGAAAAGTCAGAGACTCAGAGCACGAATTCTTTTGAGAAATGTTCTAGCCTTTTCAGCTTTTCACATGCATCGGATTAACGGACCTGTGACCGCGTCACATCCTGGAAATTTATCCCGTGTTTATGTTTATAATTTCACCCAGTTTATTACCACAAAAACAATTAAAATTTAATTATTTGAAATGTTCCTTACATAATTTGATTGATAAATACATAAACGGTATCGTGCTAGTTAATATCAATTCATAACATATAAAATTGCTCATGAGCGAGACTTTTCATTTGTTCGCGTTACCGATCGTTGCAAGATAAAAAACAACATTTTCCTGTAACTAGCTTGATTTCACAATATATGGCATTGTTGACAACGATTGACGCTGATGAGTCGTGTTGGTTATGGCCATTGCGCATGACTGTCACAACGGACACGTTTCCCATAATTGCTTTGCGACATTATTATCCCACAACTGTCTGTGTTGCTTAACGAACCGCGCATATTTACAATATTCGCAACATGCGACTAACATAACTTGAAAAATGAAAACAATGACTTGTTTCATATTTCGAATCAGCCACAAATGTGCCAAAAGGCGGCGAATTCCACGACGACCAGCTCGCCATGTTGTTTCCGTAATCCCAGCAGATCCTGTGTTTGTGAAGAGGGCGAGGTTGGAGAGCAGGGGATTGGAGTAAATTGGCCGGCACACAGTCTAGTCTCCTCTGCAGCAACCCCCTCGATCCCTGACCTGGTTGAACAAGTCCGATAAAGTCCCTAACAAATATGATAAATCGACTTTAGTTTTTATCTTACTTTGAGGTGAGGGCGCCGGATCATGAATTCACAGGAAAAAAATCCGAGACTGCTTCCAGCATGTCAAAATACTGCCCAGTATCAGAGTCTCAGATCGTCGCCAAGATATGATTAGACGTCGCCTGAACAGTTTGTTGTTCCTTTCGGGACTGGATTATGGGCCACGGTGACGTTTACGCTACTGTTACTACGAATCATTTTTCCTCCTGAGATGGGCGTTCTGACTACTACTACCATCACCACCACCACCACCACCACCACCACCACCACTACTACTACTACTACTACTACTACTACTACTACTACTACTAGTAGTCATGTACTACTACTACTACTAGTAGTAGTAGTAGTAGTAGTAGTAGTAGTAGTAGTAGTAATAAACAGTGTAGTAACATGTCAAAGTAACAATATTTATTTTGAATTATTTTCACAATGTAAGATGTCAAAACTTTTGCATAATTGTCGTATTATGACAAACGTATAATTGTATACTTTTACAATAGATACTATTGAAGCATGTTAAATTAACACCAGTGTATACCAAATTAACACCAGTGTATACCAAATTAACACCAGTGTATACCAAATTAACACCAGTGTATACCAAATTAACACCAGTGTATACCAAACATTTTGTTGCAATATGACAAAATACAAACATGTTTCATTAACCAGTGTTGGGTAGCCTAGTGGGTGAAAGCGTTGGCTCGTCACACCGAAGACCCGGGTTCGAATCCCCACATGGGTACAATGTGTGAAGCCCATTTCTGGTGTCCCCCGCCGTGATGTTGCTGGAATATTGCTAAAAGCGGCGTAAAACCAAACTCAGTCAGTCAGTTGTTGTACATGTCAAATACCAACATGGTACACTTGTACAAAAGTGTAGTAGCTTGTCAAAATAACAACGTTGTACGCGTTTACTATAAATATTTCTGTAGCATGGCTTAAACGTATTGTGCACCTTCAAAATACTGGACAGTTTTGTAAAATAACAACATTGTATACTTTTACAATGAACAGCGATGTAGCGTGTCAAGATGACAACACAGAATATTGTTTCCAGTAAATAGTGTGGATTGATAAGACAGCACTGTATACTTTACAATGAACGGTATTGTGACATGTACAAACGACATTCTTTAGTCTTAATATACAGAGAGTGGTAGAATATCAAAACGCAAACTGTATGCTTTTCACTATAGATCACTGTACATCTACCGTAGCAACACTTTACAGTGTGGTGCTATGTAGCGCTAAGATCATCTTTTACAACATGGTGGCGTGTGGTCCTGTGCATAGAGCTCAGGTCACAAATCACATGAGGTGAGGTGAGGTGAAATTGGGTTTAACGTCGTGCTTGAGAATATTTCGCTCATATGACGACGTGAATGCGTGTGTATGTGTAGGTGCGGCTGCTTGTACTAGCCCAGACTTAAGCTGGTTTTATAGTGCTAGCCCACTGTGATACCATGCTGCAGTGAAGCATGAATACCCCACTCAGACACATTATACTGACTCCGAGCCGACCAGTCCTTGTTGTACCTATTAATGCCGAGCGCCAGGCAGGGACCAACAAGTATCACATTTTAACGTCTTTTGGTATGACGCGGTCGGGGATTGAACCCGCGACCTTCCTGTCTCCGGGCGGACGCTCTAACCACTACACCAGGGAGGCGGTTACAAATCACATGAAGTTAAGCAACGTTGGGCGGTGAGAGTCTTGGATGACTGACCGTGTTTGGCAGATGACTCCTGAGAGTTTCTAGGACTTCAGTCCTGCCCCACAACGAAGCACATGTGATACCTCTGGTCTCACCTTAGGCAAGTGAGTTTGTGTAAAATTGCCTGTTCACCAGGAGAAAATGGGTACCCGGTGGGATAAGTCATGTGACTATAACCTTTTAACAGGCAGCTTGGGTTATCCGGGGTACTAATATGTTGGCGTTTTGAGTGTGTGGAAACAGGCGCTATATATATTGCCATTATTATTATTACATGTCGTAGCATGTCATCAATACACAAAATTTGTACTGTTGTACTGTCACCACAACAACATACAATTTAATTTTGCGATCAACAACCTGTCCTTGCAAGTAACCGTTGCTTAATCACCTTGTACAAGAATGTCTCGAGAAAGAAAACCTTTTGTAATTGACCTCATCGCCGATCTTGAAAAGAAACTGATGTGTTATAGACTGAAAAAATATGACCTTCGAAAATGCCACACAACACGATCCCGCTCTGACATCCTGTCGATGAGTGTACGTCACCAATAACCTTTGAACCACTTCCTGTCAGCGAGTGCGCATGTTCACCGATCAATAACCGTCGCCATGTTACTTCATTTATTATACACCGACATTAAACATCAAAATCACGGGATCATGTCCGACAGACGGCCTGTGAGGGGCGTTTAATAAATAACAGCAGTTGACAGGGAAACAGAAACATTGTCTGAATAGCCTCAATGGCAATGTATCCAACGTGAAAGAGCCTGGGATTAACATCTCTGTGGTAGAACTTGACAGCCAACCTCGAAGGATTTTTACGGTATAAAAATCAGCAGTGAAAAATTCGGCTGAAGAGATACGCGACAAATTTGACAAGTTGGTGGGACCCGTCATAGTTCACTTTGTCAACACACCAGCCGATCTTCCAACACAATCACCTCGTACAACGAATGCTCCCGTAGGTCGACATGACCTTTTGTCGTTATTTCATGATTAAATTTATTCCGGTAAAATTGAGTCCTTACGGTGTGTTCATTGTATTTTTAGTTGTTCATTTATATTATTTTTCATGGTTATTTATTCCTTCATATTAACTGGAATCGGAGGATGTCACAACTAGGAATTCTTTTGTACTGACGTTATATAATCCTGCAGCCGTCATATTTCTTTCAATTATTTTGTAAGGAATTCGAAAATGAGTTACGATAAATGCCACTTTGGACAGTACTTCATTATATCTCGGCGTGTTAGATTAGTTTAAAAAAAAAACAACAACAACAAAAAACCACGGCGTTTGCAATATTGGTGAAACGCACTTGTAAGCAGTGGTGAAAAATAGCCGATGGAGTGGTGAAAAACGAGCAATCATAATCGGATTGAGTGAGTTTAGTTTTACGCCGCACTCAGCAATATTCGACTTCTATTCAAACAAAGCACAAGGCGGCATGGAAACATTTTGCTTGACAGTGCTAAACACAAAGTGTTTTAGCTTTTGTTTATTTTCAGAGTGTGTGAGTGAGTGAGTTTAGTTTTACGCCGCACTCAGCAATATTCCAGCTATGTGGCGGCGGTCTGTAAATAATCAAGTCTGGACACAGACAATCCAGTGATCAACAGCATCAGCTTCGACCTGCGCAATTGGGAACCGATGACATGTGTCAACCAAGCCAGCGAGCCTGACCACCTGATCCCGTAAGTCGCCTCTTACGACAAGCAGGGGTTTAATCGGACTGAGATTTTCGAAATGTTATGATAAGCAGAGCAAGCGACAATGTTTGCAAGGGCGCTGACATGTTTAGTACATGACCATGATATGTATAAGTCTTTCAAGGGTGAGTGGGCAAGTTTGGTTGACTGTCTCTTTGAAATGTATTTTTAACAATCATTTAACACTTCCTGATAACATGATGTGGGTAAAATCCCAGTCGAAGCGTTGATAGCGTTGACACGAGTATACTGCTCATAGGTAAATGATCACAATCTGGGCGTCAAACCAGTTACCTATAGATCCTGGCGTAGTAAAGGGAGACAACTATGCAATCTGTGACGCCCCATACTACTAAGCCATCCGATTTGGAACGCCACTATTTTTGACGTCTTGAACGTAATAAGTATAGGCATGTCGTGAGGTAAAATGTAGACACTGTCAAATCATTATGATAATAGACGGAATTTGAGCCCTGCCACAGAATAACCCCGCCTATCAGAGCCCTGCGCTGGTCGGAATCATATTTATGAGATATAAACAGATGTGTACGACCCCATTATCATTTGATGTAATATGACGTCCTGCGCGAGATGACGATGTTTCACTCTTTCATTATAAATTGGAAAGTGTTATCGATGCGATGAATCTGGTATCGAGATGGGATAAATATGCAAATGAGGTCCGCCAGTGGGAACTGATATCAGGGTGTAGTATCATTTTTCAATAAACTGTTGCCTAACGCTACCGATACGCTTAGGTAGGGATTTCACAATGTTGCCGTCTTTCGGCACAAAAATAACTACCAGTTATTTCACGGACTTAACTACATCTTTTGATGTCTTTTGAAATCTATTTACGATTGTACAGAAATGGCGGAGGAAGTGAAAAGTACATCATATCAACATAAATCAATATATCAGGTCGATAAATCTTCTTTGTAATGTAAGGCATTTATGTCTGATAACCAGGAAACATTCTTTGTGTGAATTGCAAAATACACAGCCCCCGCCCAATGACTTACTGTAGCAACCTAAACATAGATATATAATCAGAGAAACCAGTCTGGGCAAGTCCGTGTTATATCAACTGCCGGCCATAGGTAGCTCTGTTGTCGGAATTAAGTCATGCACGAATTCTGAAAATAGTTTTCATGCCACATTGCAGTAAGATAGATTTGAAAATGTGAACAGTTTTCCTTTGATTTATTAACTCGAAGAACCGAAAAATATTTTCTTCATTCCTAATTCCGCTGATGGGTTCTTCTGAGAATAACAATTGCTCAGATCGATGCTCATGCTGTTGATAACTGGATTGTCTGGTCCAGACTAGATTATTTACAGATCGCCACCATATAGCTGGAATATTGCTGAGTGTGGCGTAAAACTAATACTCACTCACTCACACACTCTGAAAATAAAAAAAAAGCTAAAACACTTTGTGCTTAGCACTGTCAAGCAAAATGTTTCCATTCCGCCTTGTGCTTTGTTTGAATAGAAGTCGTGTCTTCAGTCCACGGTTGAAATCATGTACATCCTCTTTACTCTGATAAACCCCCGGCGGGATATTGCTGGAATATTGCTTGAAAGCGGCGTAAAACAAACTCACTCACTCACTAATCTGCTAAAAGGGCTTTCGGGTAAAGCGTTCGCTCGTCACGCCCAAGGCCCGGGTTCGATTCCCCACGTGGGTACAATGTGTGACGTCCATTTCTGTTGTCCCCCGCCGTGATATTCCTGGAATATTGCTAAAAGCGGCGTAAAACCTAATTCACTCACTATCCCTCTAAGATATTCAAACGTAATGTATTTACTCCGAGCCCAGGTGTTTTATCACCTCATTGCCGATACCAGGCAGAGTAACAACAAGGACCATGTGATGTCTTTAACGATTCTCCGACCATCTGCTGTCCAAGAAGGTCGTACCATCAAGAGTGAGTGAGTGAGTTTAGTTTTATTCCGATTTGGGCAATATTCCAATCATATCAGCGGAAGACACCAGTAATAGGCTTCACACATTGTCCGCATGTGGGGAATCGAACCCGAGTCTTTGGCGTGATAAGCGAACGCTTTAACCACTAAGCTACCCCACCGCCCTCGTACCATTAAGAAGCACAGCACGTACAGACAGAGTGAGAGGACCGTCCCTAAAGAGCCCATACACTTGGAGTACGCCATCAGTGTCAGGGCTGCTGATCTCCCAGTGAGGTTTTGTTGACACGGCAAACAGGCGTGCGGAAGACGGTGCGTCAGACAATGGCGGGGGTGCGACCTGCTGTACATCCTTGTGGACTGTTGACCTGATACATACAGGGATGACGGAACACTGGGCGTCCATGTTCGTCCTGTCAAACTGTTGGCAAATGCACAGATGTGTATATAGGAGTAAAAAAACACTACTGTGGGCATCTTTGAAGTACTTTTAAGTTGGCGAGGTATCAGTTCTGACAGAGGTTGTCTGCATCGTTGGGGTTTAGATCCATACTTTAACACGCTGATCAACTTGTTTAAATGTGAAGTGTAACATAGGCGGAGGGTGGGTGTGTTTCCAGTGTAATGAAGTATGTGTCATATTTCAGTCACACTTTTTACATGTCACGTTCTGTTTGGCCACAGGCAAATTGTAGCGCACTTAGGGTTGCGCAACAAAGAGAAAATGACCAGTCTTTCCATATGCGAGCGAAGCGAGCAAAGGTTGGCAACGTGCTTCCCTCGCTTCGGTTCGCAAAATATTTTTAATATCAAAATAAAATATCGCCATCATCAAAAGTAGACTCTCATTTCCTCACAGAGTTGTGCTCTCAGATTTCCGACCTCATATATAATAATTACTCACGTACAATATATTTAATTCAACATTTTCAGCGCCACTCGTGGCATGTCAAATCGTTCTTCGCCTCCATTACCCCCTGCCAGCTTCCGGTTCAACGGAGTGAAGGAACAGGGGACTTAAATTTAAATCTGCTTTCATTTACCCGTTACGCCAGAAGTGTTTTTGTAGAATAGATGTTACGAAAATTCTAACAATAAGGACGGCAGGTAAGAAAAATAATCCCCAACAATTTAACGTAAAAATTATGCAATATTATTTTTGTATTTAATTTCTGCTTATTCTTGTTCCTTCACTCCGTTGAACCGGAAGCTGGCAGGGTAAAGGAGGCTAAGAACGATTTGACATGCCACAATTTGCGCTTGAAATGTTGCATCAGAGACCATATATCGGCTTCTGATGATAATATTTTATTTTGATATTAAAAATATTTTGCGAACTAAGCGAGGAATACTTCGTTGTTAACTTTCATCGCTTCGCTCGCATATGGAAAGACTGGTCATTTTCTTGGTGCGCAACCCTAAGTACGTTACAATTTGCCTTTGGTTTGGCAAACTATAAACATACAACGTAGCGATAAATTGTACACATACGCTGTAGATGATATGATCATAAACTACACACATACGCTGAAGGTGATGTGATCATTATCTACACACATACGCTGAAGGTGATGTGATCATAAACTACACACATACGCTGTAGGTGATGTGATCATAAACTACACACGTACGCTGCGGGTGATGTGATCATAACCTACACACATACGCTGTAGGTGATGTGATCATAAACTACACACATACGCTGTAGGTGATGTGATCATAAACTACACACATACGCTGTGGGTGATGTGATCATAAACTACACACATACGCTGAAGGTGATGTGATCATTATCTACACACATACGCTGAAGGTGATGTGATCATAAACTACACACATACGCTGTAGGTGATGTGATCATAAACTACACACGTACGCTGTAGGTGATGTGATCATAAACTACACACATACGCTGAAGGTGATATGATCATAAACTACACACATACGCTGAAGGTGATGTGATCATTATCTACACACATACGCTGAAGGTGATGTGATCATAAACTACACACATACGCTGTAGGTGATGTGATCATAAACTACACACGTACGCTGCGGGTGATGTGATCATAACCTACACACATACGCTGAAGGTGATGTGATCATAAACTACACACATACGCTGTAGGTGATGTGATCATAAACTACACACATACGCTGTAGGTGATGTGATCATAACCTACACACATACGCTGAAGGTGATTTGATCATAACCTACACACATACGCTGTAGGTGATGTGATCATAAACTACACACATACGCTGTAGGTGATGTGATCATAAACTACACACATACGCTGTAGGTGATTTGATCATAAACTACTGCACATACGCTGTAGGTGATTTGATCATAAACTACATCTTTATACGCTGTAGGTGATTTGATCATAACCTACACACATACGCTGAAGGTGATGTGATCATAACCTACACACATACGCTGTAGGTGATGTGATCATAACCTACACACATACGCTGTAGGTGATTTGATCATAAACTACACACATACGCTGTAGGTGATTTGATCATAAGCTACACACATACGCTGAAGGTGATTTGATCATAAACTACACACATACGCTGAAGGTGATGTGATCATAAACTACACACATACGCTGAAGGTGATGTGATCATAACCTACACACATACGCTGATCAACTTGTTTAAACGTGAAGTGTAACATAGGCGGAGGGTGGGTGTGTTTCCAGTGTAATGAAGTATGTGTCATATTTCAGTCACACTTTTTACATGTCACGTTCTGTTTGGCCACAGGCAAATTGTAGCGCACTTAGGGTTGCGCAACAAAGAGAAAATGACCAGTTTTTCCATATGCGAGCGAAGCGAGCATAGGTTGGCAACGTGCTTCGCTCGCTTCGGTTCGCAAAATATTTTTAATATCAAAATAAAATATCGCCATCATCAAAGATAGACACCCATTTCCTCACAGAGTTGTGCTCTCAGATTTCCAGCCTCATATTTAATAATTACTCACGTACAATATATTTAATTAAACATTTTAAGCCCCACTCGTGGCATGTCAAATCGTTCTTTGCCTCCATTACCCCTGCCAGCTTCCGGTTCAACGGAGTAAAGGAACAGGGGACTTAAATTTAAATCTGCTTTCATTTACCCGTTACGCCAGAAGTGTTTTTGTAGAATAGATGTTACGAAAATTCTAACAATAAGGACGGCAGGTAAGAAAAATAATCCCCAACAGTTTAACGGTAAAACTATGCAATATGATTTTTGTATTTAATTTCTGCTTATTCTTGTTCCACTCCGTTGAACCGGAAGCTGGTTATAAGTACTTCAAAGATGCCCACAGTGGTGTTTTTTTACTCCTATATACACATCTACAACTACTGCCACTACAACAACTACTACTACCACCGCCACTACTACTGCTGCTGCTGCTACTACCACTGCTACTACTACTGCTACTGCTATTATGTATCCACACCGATTAATACTTATAATATCATATTGTTTACATAATTATGATATTATATCGTTCTAATAATTATAACATATTTTTCAGAGTTCAATGCTGCTGAGGGTCAAATAGTCTGTTACGAGTGTTTCAACATAGTGGAGGGTGTGTTCCAGCCTCATTGCCCCAAGAACGGCTCCGTGGGGCCGTGGACGTGGAAGATCAACTGTACCGGAAGTTGCTACACCAGGACAGACGACCAGAACCCAGACTGTGAGTGAAAGGTGTTATACGACACTATCAGTCAGGATATTCCACCGCCGTGATATTGCTGGAATATTGCTAAAGCGGCGTAAAACCAAACTCATTCATTCCGGATGTTCCAGCTGTATCCGAGCTATGTACAGGTCAATAATTTAATCACTCATATGGTAAACTTCGTCCGGACTGATCATACTCAAGGCAGACATTGTGACCACCCGATCCTCCGTATTCGTACCTACGACTCTGTCCCTAAATACCCATACGGCCATAAGTATTGGGAACAAAGGACCTGGGTCTCGATCCACAATGCGTTCGTAACGTTACGACCTGTCGTAACTCTATAGTTTATCAAATAGGCTTACGAATATCGTAGCGCTACGAACGCTTTGTGGGATCCGGACCCTGATCGCTTTGTACAACGACACCCAGGGTCCCTTTTCACAAAGCTATCGTAAAGCTACGACTGTCGTAAGTCTATGTCAAAGTACGATAGCTTTGTGAAATGGACCCTGGGTGTCGTTGGGTGTCGTTGTACAAAGCATCTTAGCGCTAGGGTGACCGTAGCTCACATACCACAACATAGCCTTAACGCTAAGGTTGTTTTGTACAACAACACCATGCTCTCGGATTCCCACAGTGAGATAGGTAGGACATATCGGGAACGACTTTTCTTCAACTCGTTTTTTAGAGAGACAATCATGGGATGATACAGGAGACCGTTTATTCCCCGAATCCCAAGAGGGATACAAGCATGGGTACTGGATACCTATTCTGTATACTATGTCCAATATGATGTTAATATATTGACATAAATATTTTATAACTGCCTTAGCGCTCAATTATACAGTACAACAAGAAATTATTGAGAAATTAAAGATTGTATTTTTTTTGTTTCACTCATTACTCACGTATTAAATGTGAATAATTAGCAGAACATAACTCCAGATTCAAAGACAGGTGAACAGTTAGTATTTTGTCAAGTCACCATGGGCAGCAATGCAGGCTACAATGCGGCGGGGCATACTACTGATCAAAGAAGTTAGAAAGTCGTGGTCCATGCTGTCCCAATATCGGACCACCTCTTCTTTCATTTCAGCAATATTTGTCAGATTTTTCTTATTGACACTTTCCTTCATAAGTCCCCAAACATTTTCTATTGGATTTAGGTCAGGGCTATATCTTGGCCAATCTAATAATGTCATATTTTGGGTCCGAAACCAGGCCTGTGAATGCTTTGAACGATGTTTTGGGTCGTTGTCCTGCTGGAAAATAATTTTTTTTCCATAGAACACCTGAGCAGATGGAAGTTAATCTCCCTCGAGAATATCTGTGTACTGCTCACTGTTCATATTCCCTTCCAATACACAGAGGGGCGTTGCCCCAACACAGATATGCCACCCCACACGTTAAATTTCGTATTGTACTTTTGGCGCTAATACAAAGGTTTTTCAGTTTGTTTGGTCGAGAATTTCAATGTATTAGGAAACAGCCACACAGAACTTTCATCTGAGAAAATAACATTGTCCCAGTTAAAATTTCTATGCTGTAAGCACCAGTTCAACCTTCGCTCCTTTTGTTCAGGTTTCATGATCGGTGATGGAATTCCTCGACTTTTCTGACAACCCATTGCATGCAGCTCAGTTCTTATTGTCTCCTTACAGACTGCCACAGTTCTTCTATCAATCATATCCAGCCTTAAGTTTTCTAAACTCCTTCGTTTGTTTTTAGAAACAAGAATACTAAGCCGCCTCCTGTCACCGACAGTCAATTTTCTTGGCCTACCTGCGCCTCCCTGGTGCTCAATGCCATATCCATCTGCAATATTTTTCAAAACACGATAAACAGTGGATAAAGGGATGCCTGTTCTACTTGAAATCACTTTAGCTGATCTGATGTCCTTGTTATAATACTCTAAAATCAACTTCCTCTTCTCTAAATCATCCATACTGAGGATCACTGAAAATGTCGTCTGCGAGCAAGTAAACAAAGGGGGATAACTCTTCACAAGCTAATGAAAAAGGATTAACGGAGTTGTCTCTCTTGAATGAAACCAAGCACTTGATATCTGGTCAAGGTTGTTTATACTAGAAATCCAATTAAACATATTCCTAAAATTCTCAATAATTTCTGGTCATACTATATATTCTTATTTGTCTGTGTTACATATACAGAGTTGGGTTTGACTACCATTTCGTATGTTGGTCTTTGGTGAATATAAGATTCGAACCTCGCAACTCTGCACAGCGACCAAGACATACATTGAACGCAAATAGCCAAACACTACTGTGTTGAGCTTTGATATGTGGAAATTACGGTTGCTTCGAGATAAAATCTTAAAATAGCTCCTGATTATTCTACAGATGCATTTAGTCGTCATACCACGGTTTTGTCGAACCTCGACACATTTTCGTAGATCCCTTCAACTTCAACACAAAGGTGTTTAACTGTATACGATTGTCATTATGTCCTCCTGAAAGTTACCTCCACAATCCGCCAGATTTGAAAACTGAGATCACTACTACTGTGATGACTAGCCCCATATGAAACTATCAGATATTTCCTGTGTATACCTCTACGCGTGTCTTCTATCTTCATAAACTCTTTCCTTTGTTCCAGTTTTCGCCCTGATAACTTCTTGGGTGTAAATGTCTGAGATGAGCATCACCTTCGACTTTTTCCCATCAAACATACAACATATTACGGAAATTCTGTTTAAAGCCAAGTTAACGCACTCACCCATCCACATGCAGCGTTAGGGTTAGGGTGACGTGACACCAAACAATATGGCTGGTAGGTATCCGGTATTCTGTAGGTGTACCTCTGCTTGTACCGAAGTGTTGATATCTCGAGACGTATTTCGGGGCGGTGGGGTAGCTTAGTGGTTAAAGCTCGCTCGTGACGCCGAAGACCCCCACATGGGTACAATGTGTGAAGTCCATTTCTGGTGTCCCCTGCTGTGATATTGCGGGAATGGCGTAAAACCATACTCACTCACGCACTCGAGACGTATTTCGATTACACTACCATTTTCGGTACACCTACAGAATACCGGATACCTACCAGCCATATTGTTTGGTGTCACGTCCCCCTAACCCTAACGCAAACACTAACCCTAAACCTTACCCTAATCCTTACCCTTACCCTTACCCTAACCCTAAACCTTACCCTAACGCAAACCCTAACCCTAAACCTTACCCTAATCCTTACCCTAACCCTAACCCTAATCCTAAACCTTACCCTAACCCTATGTAAGTTCGCGTGCTTTCAAAGATGTCGGAAGGTATCCGGTATTCTGTAGTCTTACCCAAGCAGAATACCTTGTTTAAATATACTCATGCCAATAATGGCAACATTTTCATTAAGATACGTATAACGTTTTCAAGCTGGAGTGTAATTTGTGAGACTCTGCATCGAACCATCGCTATGTGAAATACAACATTAGCTGGCATTCATAATACAACTGTACGTTTTTGGAGTCCACGGAGTACCCGTGAAGATCCGGGTTAGAACTGGTCTTCAGCAACCCATGCTTGTCGTAAGAGGCGACTAACGGGATTGGGTGGTCAGGCTCGCTGACTTGATTGACACATGTCATCCTATCCCAGTTTCGTAGATCAATGCTCATGCTATTGATGACTGGATTGTATATATAGCTGGACTATTGCTGAGTGCGGCGTGAAACTAAACTCACTCACTCACTCCATGCACCAGTTTCTGGAATGCCAACAGTTTCAGTGTTAATTGTCTGTATGTTTGCAGTGATATATCGGGGATGTACGGACAACCAGCCTTTCCTACCGAACCCCCCTGCCTAAAGTAGGGTGTTACCCCTTCTACCTGGAAGTGTGGTGCATCTGTGGACACAGCGGTTGTAATGGCGGCCCCATGGGTATGTAAACCATGCAAAGAAGAAATGGTTAAAATTGAACACTACTTCTATTCTTTCTGCACCCCGCACCTTCAGCATGCAGTTGATCATAAAACTGGACACAACATCGTACCTCCGTTTTTACTATCCTTTTTCATTTCTTATATTGTTTGGGGCGGTGGGGTAGTGTAGTGGTAAAAGCGTTGTTCGTTCGTCACGCCGAAGACCCGGGTTCGATTCCCCACATGTGAAGCCCATTTTGGTGTCCCCTGCCGTGATATAGCTGGAATATTGCTAAAAGCGGCGTAAAACTAAACTCACTCACTCTTATAGTGTTTAATATTATTACCAAAGTTTCATGTGTTTCTTTGTTCATCCCCGTGTTCACGTTATCCATATTTATATATTCATACATCGTCTTGTCTAAAATGTAGCAGGCTGAATTATTCACCTTATCTGCATCAGGATCCGATTATTGAGAGTTCAGCTCACAGGTTTGCTTCCGATTCATGATATTTAGCGCCTTTTTTTTCAGGACCTCCAATGAACACTCTATCACTTCGAGTCTTCTCATAATCATATGCTTAGGCTGTCTCAGTTAAACTTAATCACTTAAAAGCTTCATTTTGTGAACCAACTAGACACTTCCGTTAGAGTTTCTAATCGACTTGGTTTCTGTTGTCGCAGGTAAGCCAGGCAGTGTGGAGTTGGATGCGCATCTACCCAAGGAAACAGAAAAAGATGAGAACAATGCTTACAGCATACTGGGTGTGGACATGTGGAGGATCCGACTGGTTGTGTGTGGCTTGTTGACTGTGTACATTGTTCTACAAGGGACAATAGGATGATGTCATGCGACTATGGAGTGGACTCAAGATTGAACTCCTCAGTGTTTAGATTTGATGAAAAACAAAACAAGAATATGTGTCTGAGAAAAAACTTAGAGACTTGTTAAAATTTTTAAAAGCCATACTTTTATGGGTTTTTAAAAAAAACAACCCAGGAGTTTGACATGTAATTTTATATTAGAGATTTAGAGGATTAACGAAGAAAATATTTCTTTAGATGACAACACCAAGTGGAGGGTGTTGTAAGGGGGGTGTTTACATCATGAACTTGTGATGTTTTTGTCCAAAGTTAGGTATGGGTGGGGGGAAGGGGGTGAGATTTGTCAAGGGTTGTCATATTACAAAAGTAGGTACTATATATGGCCCTTTTGCTCCATAATAGGAAAATAGCAAAGGGAGGATCGAATGTATTATTAACCCTTCCGATATGTGTCACATAACTTTTAACGTAATTATATACAATAACAGATAGGATGAAGTATTGCCTTGTTGTTTCAGTAAAATATACTATTGGAATTATGATGTAAATTATGCTCAATAAAATGTGTAAAACATTTTGAGTTTGTCGGTGAGGGCAACAAGTCGACAATTTCCCTCAAGCATAACCTTCCCTGAAGAGATGTCGATGCAACCAATATCATAAAATGCACGTCTCCAGATAGGCTCGACATGCAAGCGTTCAGTAATAATAGAATAGCAGAATAGTTTCCCCGTTCCAGCACCATAATGAGTTCTTTTCTCCAAAGGCATGATGAAATATTTTATGGGAAAGCTTCTGCGTTTCTTTGTTACAAAGGTATGAACTCCCTTACGTTTTCGAATAACATCCTTTACTGTATGGAAGGTGTTTGCAAGTAATAGTGATAGTTTCATAATTTCAAAAAAATTGTTAGGGTGTATTGGAGGTGTGTGAAAAATAAGACATCTGATCTGATCTGATCCGCCATTGACTGACTGACTGACTGAGTTTAGTTTTACGCCGCTTTTAGCAATATTCCAGCAATATCACGGCGGGGGACACCAGAAAATGGGCTTAACACATTGTGCCCATGTGTGGAATCGAACTCGGGTCTTCGGCGTGACGAGCCAACGCTTTAACCACTAGGCTACCCCATCGCCCCGATCCGCCATAGAAATACTACAGGCCGATGTTTGAGTGTTTCTAGTTATTATTCTAAAAAACTTCTTTCACATACACCTTTAATTTTTATGAGGGAATATACCTTCAGTTGAAGGGTATTTGCAAGTAATAGTGATAGTTTTATAATTTTAGAAAAATTGTTAGGGTGTATTTGAGGTGTGTGAAAAATATCTGGTGATCTGTTCTGATCCGCCATTGATGCCTGTGATGCTTGAGTGTTATAGTTCTAAAACTTCTTTCTTTCTTGTTGATCTTAGTATTTGACAAAACTGGAAAGGCCTTTTCAACGCTTTGTGATAGTTTTAAACTTTCTGTATTTTAGGAGTGTGTGACAGTGTCAATTAACATTCTGTCAATGTCCATGCCATCCCACACATGCAGGAAGATATCGGAATGCTAACTTACTAATGTACAACAAAACGACAGCTGATGTTAACACGTGTGCTAGCGATAGTTTTGTGTTCTTTAAAATATTTGGGGAAGGGTGGCCAGGGTGTATCATTTATTCTTTCATTCATGATTCACATATGTATTTGTTTCTTTTGTTCTTTTTCTCTATTTCTTTCATTCATTTACATATAATTCATTCATTCATTCATTGTAAAATTTGGAAAATAATTTAGAAATTGAGAGAAAAAGGCAAGGTGAACTCATCAGCACTCAACATAAACAGAAAAGCATTGAAACATAGTGAGACATTTTAATTGTGTAACAGATCAATTCAAACATGTATCATAATAGCACTGTTCACATCTGTGTAAATATTCAAGGAAACATGCACGATCATATTGACAGTATAGCTTATGCTATAGTTTGCCGATAGTTTCCGACTGATATAATAAACTGGCTGAAGTACTGTTAAACGCAGCCGAAGTTGCGCTGGGAACGAACCAAGTCACTGTGTGCGTTGGAGCATGACGAGGCACACGCTAATTAGTACAAATGGTAAAGAAAGCAAGCGAGTGATCTACCCCTGCCGCAGACAACGTTGTGTCAGGACGCTACCAATCTACAACCTTCCAACAACGTTGCAAAAACGTTGTATGTTAGCTGGGTTGGTATGCCGGTAGGGCAGAATACTCCCACCTTTTAGCGAACACCTGGTATCATCACGATTTTATAGTGATTCATGAACACACACTCTGTCATCGTATTGCATGGTGACAATCACTGGATTGTCTAGCCCGGGCTCGATTTGTTTCCGATCACGTGTAATACTAGTAAAACAAATGTACACCCATGATAATTATAGAATTGTACAATCGATACTGCTTTTAGGAGAAATGTCCTATGGATGCGGAAAGAGTTTTTTCGCTTCTATTCACCACGCAGTATAAAGAGCTAACGTATAATGTGCAAAGGTATGATGAGCTCATGTGCCGTGGAAGAACGATGAGTACAGTTACTGTACACTATCATTAGTTCTGTTTTGCAAAAGTATGCTGAGCTACTTTGTAACAAAGGTATGACGAGCTGCATTGTTGTAATATGCTGAGCTACTTTGTAACAAAGGTATGACGAGCTGCATTGTTGTAATATGCTGAGCTACTTCGTAACAAAGGTATGACGAGCTGCGTTGTTGTAATATGCTGAGCTACTTCGTAACAAAGGTATGACGAGCTGCGTTGTTGTAATATGCTGAGCTACTTCGTAACAAAGGTATGACGAGCTGCATTGTTGTAATATGCTGAGCTACTTCGTAACAAAGGTATGACGAGCTGCATTGTTGTAATATGCTGAGCTACTTCGTAACAAAGGTATGACGAGCTGCATTGTTGTAATATGCTGAGCTACTTCGTAACAAAGGTATGACGAGCTGCATTGTTGTAATATGCTGAGCTACTTCGTAACAAAGGTATGACGAGCTGCATTGTTGTAAAGGTATGCTGAGCTACTTTGTAACAAAGGTATGACGAGCTGCATTGTTGTAAAAGTATGCTGAGCTACTTTGTAACAAAGGTATGCTGAGCTACTTTGTAACAAAGGTATGCTGAGCTGCATTTGTAAAAGCATAAGGTATGAGCTGCATTGTTGTAAAAGTATGCTGAGCTACTTTGTAACAAAGGTATGACGAGCTGCATTGTTGTAAAAGTATGCTGAGCTACTTTGTAACAAAGGTATGACGAGCTGCATTGTTGTAAAAGTATGCTGAGCTACTTTGTAACAAAGGTATGACGAGCTGCATTGTTGTAAAAGTATGCTGAGCTACTGTTGTAACAAAGGTAACAAAGGCATGAAGGTATGACTACTTTGTAACAAAGGTAATGACGAGCTGCATTGCTGATGCTGAGCTACTTGTTGTAATATGAGCTAAAAGTATGACGATGCATTGTTGAGCTACTTTGTAACAAAGGTATGACGAGCTGCATTGTTGTAAAAGTATGCTGAGCTACTTTGTAACAAAGGTATGACGAGCTGCATTGTTGTAAAAGTATGCTGAGCTACTTTGTAACAAAGGTATGACGAGCTGCATTGTTGTAAAAGTATGCTGATCTACTTTGTAACAAAGGTATGCTGAGCTACTTTGTAACAAAGGTATGACGAGCTGCATTGTTGTAATATGCTGAGCTACTTTGTAACAAAGGTATGACGAGCTGCATTGTTGTAATATGCTGAGCTACTTCGTAACAAAGGTATGACGAGCTGCATTGTTGTAATATGCTGAGCTACTTTGTAACAAAGGTATGACGAGCTGCATTGTTGTAAAAGTATGCTGAGCTACTTTGTAACAAAGGTATGACGAGCTGCATTGTTGTAATATGCTGAGCTACTTCGTAACAAAGGTATGACGAGCTGCATTGTTGTAATATGCTGAGCTACTTTGTAACAAAGGTATGACGAGCTGCTTTGTTGTATGACGAGCTGCATTGTTGTAATATGCTGAGCTACTTCGTAACAAAGGTATGACGAGCTGCATTGTTGTATGACGAGCCTTGCTTTGTTGTATGCTGAGCTACTTTGTAACAAAGGTATGACGTAACAAAGGTATGCTGCTGCAGTTGTTGTAAAAGTATGCTGAGCTACTTTGTAACAAAGGTATGACGAGCTGCTTTGTTGTAAAAGTATGCTGAGCTACTTCGTAACAAAGGTATGACGAGCTGCTTTGTTGTAATATGCTGAGCTACTTCGTAACAAAGGTATGGCGAGCTGCTTTGTTGTAAAAGTATGGCGAACCCTTTGTTGTAAAAGTATGACGAGCTCCTTTGTTTCAAAAGAATGCCGAGCTATGATAAGTATGATAAGCTATATTTATTGCTAATGCAAGATGAGATTCTTTCTCCAACTTTTCTATAGCCACCGTATTCCAGAATGTATGATAAACTCCTTTTATTGCAAAAGTATGAAGAACCCCGTTATTGCAAAAGTATGCTGAGCTCCTTTGTTGCAAAAGTATGAATAGTTCCTTTATTGCAAAATGTTGGTTGGTTGGTTTGATGTTTAATGCCGCACTCAGCGACCAGACAATCCAGTGATCAACATCATGAGCATCGTTCCACGCAAGTGGGATGCGATGACATGTGTCAACCAAGTCAGCGAACCTGACTACCCGGTCCCGTTAGTCGACTCTTACGACAAGCATGGGTTACTGAAGATCAATATTCTAACCCGTATCTTCACGGATCTGAGATTATGTAAAAGTCCCTACATCATATGGCATCCAGACAAAACTTACACAGGCTAGGTGGTACCGGTTGGAGTGGGTTAAGACAGACACCTCTAGTAATTGTGACACATATTGAAAACGTGCCTTGTGCAAGTAGCTGCCAGCTACATAATGCAGCCTGTGAATAATCTGGACCAAACATCGCCCCAATCCGCTGCAATCACCAAGTCAATAAAAATTCAAAGTTAGAATAGTAAAAAATAATTTATTCTGTCAATGTTAATAAATACTGCATTCATTTGTCAGAAAATCTACATTACAGAACAAAAATATGTTCCACTTTACCAATGTGGTATACAAGCTCGCATGGCGTACAGCCAGATTTCAATACTAGACAAAAGCCAGATTTATCCTTAATTAGCCCAAACCAAGGCTAGATAAACATTGCATGAAATATCAACACATATGGACATAACGGATGTTTACCTATCGTCCTGATGACGTCATGCCAATTGATAACGTCATAAAGGGTTGAGGTTTGTTCTCAACAATGTTGCAATTCAGCCAATGATATGTCTCATGATTGAAAAACAATCACATTGAACATTTTGAATGGTTATATCGAAATATTTCAAATTATCCAAACATATAAGCAACAATATCAAGCACGATCACTATTGGGAAAATCGGTGGCACTGTTTCGATGGTATACCTCTGAAATATTGCTGACATAACAAATTATTAGATTCAAATGCCTACCCGGGTAAAATGGAAATAATGTAAATGTTTGTAAAACATAACTGTAAAAC